TCGACGTACACTGGAAGTACTTCGCATTTTATTCGCCTTCCTACCGGCGAATTAGCTCTTGGTTACAAACCACAGATTGCCGGGCCAAAGTACATCCCAGGATCCACTTCAGGAGGTTTTCCTGGATTTCTTCCTGCTCCCAAAGACGGGGATACATTTCCAATGGCTTACAAGGTTACCAAACCGCTCGAGTTTGACATGACAGAGTGGTCAAGCATCTGCCGGGAGCTTATTGATGCAGAGCTTACAGTTTACGGAACAATACTTATCAGGTTTAATATGATTTATTCTCGCGACAAGCATTTGAAAGCCAACATTTAGGCTAGAGAGAAGTAACTATCACAAGTGTATTTCATCAACATGAAGAGTACCTTCAAATAAGCGAGATATGACATGACCCGTCATCATGTAAATGCGATACGAAATCAAAAGGTCATCCCAGTATGAAACTCGCGCCAGTGTGAAATGTTACAGGTCATTTGATTTCGGGTTAACTTTGATTTAACCTAGGTTGATTCTCAATTTCCTTTGCTTCCGGGCCCTAACTCATGAATGATTAGGGGCTAGGAGACAAAGGAAATTGACAATCAACCTTGGTTGAAAAAATTTAACCTGAAATCAAATTTGACCTGTAACATAAACACCCCCCTAAGTTCTAAACTAGGTACCATAAAATTCCGAAAATAAGCCCCGGGGCTAATATTTTTCAAAGGCCCTTTTTGAGGGGCTTATATTCAGAGGGGCTTATCTACGGAGGGAAATTTGCGTTTAAAATCGAATGGGCTAGCCTTATTTTGGAGGTAAATTTACCGTTTTTGCTTTGTTTTACTTTGTATTTGAGGGCAATTTTCCAAGTACAAGCCCCCAGGGGGCTTATATTTGGAGGGGCGATTTAACGGAGGGTTTTTTGCGTTACCAGTTTGGGGGGCTTATATTTGGAGGGGCTTATACATGGAGGGGCTTATTTTTGGAATTTTAGGGTATGTGAAAGGCATTCCATTTGTTAATAGAAGATATACAAAAGAGGTACCTTTTCTGTCAAAAATGGAGAAAGTAAAAGGGGAATCAATTGAGGTTTCTGGGTAACTGACCTTCTACCTCCCCCCAAGTCAAGATTAACACTTACTTCACCCTTAGGGTAAAATCATGACTTAGTGGAGGGGTAGGTGTTCAGTTACCCAGAAAATTCAATTGATCTCCTAAAAGGGTAAGGTCAGACATCGGGGTGGATGGAGCCTCCCCATACAAAACCCCAGGAATCAGGTTTATGACAAACAACAGACACCAATTTGTACCAAGTTTTCCCTTTACTTGATGGTTACTGTTCATTATCTGTACGCAAGAATAAGTAGTCTCATGTCAGGTTTACCCATAAGTATTACCAAGAGCCTCTTGGTATTACTTTGGACAGTTTTCATCCATTAATTTCCTTATTTCTTAATTTTGTAAAACAAAGAATATTTTCAAAAAAGTATTTTTTCGTAGGAATTTGCCACTTCAGAACATGGATGATTTCAGAACTTTCATTCATGGACTTGGCTTCAAGTTTTTTGAACATGGGGTTACTGGTTATAGGACCCCACTGGGGTCCCATGTCTACACTGCCTCAGATGACCCCCCTGAAGTAACCATGGAACCACATAACGAGTGCTCATATTCACCCCTGGTCCCTAGAAAGGTATAATTAGAGCTTCTCTATATGTTTTATAGTTCCGTTTCTCTGTGATTATGAGTCACTATTATATGGGTGAAGTCTACAAAGATAGGAAATCACTGGCTTTTTAGCCTGCGGACAGCCCCTTGCTCCCTTCTGCACCCCTTTCACAGACTTTCAGATCTTTTGTTCAGTTATAATCAGCAGCACACAAGATAGACTGAGACTTGATTCTTCTTTTCTTTAGATAATAATGTATTGTATAAAAGAACCTGATCCATACTGTGGAGGTGAAACTGTTCTTTTAAAAAACAGTGACTTGACTGCCATGTTGGATCCAAAGGTAACGCAAGAGATGGAGGAAAAGAAAATTCGTTACCAAGCATTTCTTCCAAACAAAGATTCCAAGGCTAAACTACAGAAGAGTTGGCAAGATCGATTCTGGGTGGATGACTCAAAGGTCTGTTTAATATAATGTTTTTGTTTTTGCATTTGTTCATTTTTTACATTCAGTCGCTTTTTCTGCAATGACTGCGGAATATAATCAAAGCAAAAAAATAGTTCTGAATTCTGGGTCTGTAATATCTAGAAAACCATTGTATGAAGAGGGTTCAAAAGAAAACTCTTCTGCAATATGTATGGTACCATTAGTATGATAGCATCCCTGGATGTGAAAGAGGTTTTTGTTAGTGAGTTGATGTTTATTCTAATGATGGAAATGGGAGACAACAAGCAGTTGCCCTTCTCTATTGAAGAGAGAGCCCAGACTCAGTGCTTTCTAGGAAATACGGTACAGTACCTATAAGAAGGAAATTTAATCGCCAGTGAAAGAATGTCACAACCATCATATTGTTCTCTTCACTTCAGGAAGTTGAAAAAATTCTCAAATCTAATGAATGGAATTTCTCTTGGGATGACAAGAACAACTTGAGATACTGGTATATCCATTCTCCTGTCAGGCCCCACCCTGTGACTGGGGAGAAAATGTGGTTTAATCAAGTAACCAGTTATAATGCCAGCTACTTCAGAGATCTTCCTCTTTACAAGAATATTAACATGCCAGATGACCATTATCCATTCCACTCCTATTACGGTGATGGGTCAATCATTCAAAAGTAACCTTTATTAATCAAAAATATTCTGTAATGTAAAAATTAAACGATTCTGAGTTTGCTCCCTGAGCCAAGGACCAAAAGATGTTTAAACCAAAGGGATCACAAACGGGATTCAATGTCCGGTTCTAGTGATGGCGTTGTCAGTCACGGATTACATTGTGGTATTAAAAAGATAAAATAGCGCCCAAGCTGGCAAAAATTTTTGTTCAATAACGGCTTTCGTGCAATTCCGCCAACCTTACTGCAAAGTAGGCAGCCTCTATAAAAAAAACAAATCGTGAATGGAAACTAACAAGAAGACTTGTGAAGTTTCGGATTATGCGGATGTATTGAGAAGGTTTCGGACCCGTTCCACCCTATTCTGGTCATCCCATGCAACAGTTCCAACTGTCCTGGTCTCGGCTTTTTACTATAGACGTCGGAGAAGACGCACGTTAAAACTACAGATCAATTTTCACCTGGCGATGCATTATTTCCCTTGTCCACCACACTAAACGTTTGGAAGAAATACGACCATTACAACAACTGATCTAAACTGTACGCCACTTGCACATCCTTACTTACCCCCAAAAATTGTGCATAAGCATTGTTCGCTTGGGACGGCTACGCAAAAATTTTGGCGGGCAAATAAGCTGCATCATTGACTTCCAATCGTCCACCGCGCACTTACTGGAAACTGCAGCAAGCGTCTGCGTTCGTTCATGTGTTTGACCAAGCAAAATGCACAGATTATGCCTTGTTGAAATCATCAGGAGTATTCAGAACTCTGCATTTACTTTACATCAACCATGGAGTAAATTGTCGACGTACACTGGAAGTAATTCGCATTTTATTCGCCTTCCTACCGGCGAATTAGCTCTTGGTTACAAACCACAGATTGCTGGGCGAAAGTACATCCCAGGATCCACTTCAGGAGGTTTTCCTGGATTTCTTCCTGGTCCCAAAGACGGGGATACATTTCCAATGGCTTACAAGGTTACCAAACCGCTCGAGTTTGACATGAAAGAGTGGTCAAGCATCTGCCGGGAGCTTATTGATGCAGAACTTACAGTTTACGGAACAATACTTATCAGGTTTAATATGATTTATTCTCGCGACAAGCATTTGAAAGCCAACATTTAGGCTAGAGAGAAGTAACTATCACAAGTGTATTTCATCAACATGAAGAGTACCTTCAAATAAGCGAGATATGACATGACCCGTCATCATGTAAATGCGATACGAAATCAAAAGGTCATCCCAGTATGAAACTCGCGCCAGTGTGAAATGTTACAGGTCATTTGATTTCGGGTTAACTTTGATTTAACCTAGGTTGATTCTCAATTTCCTTTGCTTCCGGGCCCTAACTCATGAATGATTAGGGGCTAGGAGACAAAGGAAATTGACAATCAACCTTGGTTGAAAAAATTTAACCTGAAATCAAATTTGACCTGTAACATAAACACCCCCCTAAGTTCTAAACTAGGTACCATAAAATTCCGAAAATAAGCCCCGGGGCTAATATTTTTCAAAGGCCCTTTTTGAGGGGCTTATATTCAGAGGGGCTTATCTACGGAGGGAAATTTGCGTTTAAAATCGAATGGGCTAGCCTTATTTTGGAGGTAAATTTACCGTTTTTGCTTTGTTTTACTTTGTATTTGAGGGCAATTTTCCAAGTACAAGCCCCCAGGGGGCTTATATTTGGAGGGGCGATTTAACGGAGGGTTTTTTGCGTTACCAGTTTGGGGGGCTTATATTTGGAGGGGCTTATACATGGAGGGGCTTATTTTTGGAATTTTAGGGTATGTGAAAGGCATTCCATTTGTTAATAGAAGATATACAAAAGAGGTACCTTTTCTGTCAAAAATGGAGAAAGTAAAAGGGGAATCAATTGAGGTTTCTGGGTAACTGACCTTCTACCTCCCCCCAAGTCAAGATTAACACTTACTTCACCCTTAGGGTAAAATCATGACTTAGTGGAGGGGTAGGTGTTCAGTTACCCAGAAAATTCAATTGATCTCCTAAAAGGGTAAGGTCAGACATCGGGGTGGATGGAGCCTCCCCATACAAAACCCCAGGAATCAGGTTTATGACAAACAACAGACACCAATTTGTACCAAGTTTTCCCTTTACTTGATGGTTACTGTTCATTATCTGTACGCAAGAATAAGTAGTCTCATGTCAGGTTTACCCATAAGTATTACCAAGAGCCTCTTGGTATTACTTTGGACAGTTTTCATCCATTAATTTCCTTATTTCTTAATTTTGTAAAACAAAGAATATTTTCAAAAAAGTATTTTTTCGTAGGAATTTGCCACTTCAGAACATGGATGATTTCAGAACTTTCATTCATGGACTTGGCTTCAAGTTTTTTGAACATGGGGTTACTGGTTATAGGACCCCACTGGGGTCCCATGTCTACACTGCCTCAGATGACCCCCCTGAAGTAACCATGGAACCACATAACGAGTGCTCATATTCACCCCTGGTCCCTAGAAAGGTATAATTAGAGCTTCTCTATATGTTTTATAGTTCCGTTTCTCTGTGATTATGAGTCACTATTATATGGGTGAAGTCTACAAAGATAGGAAATCACTGGCTTTTTAGCCTGCGGACAGCCCCTTGCTCCCTTCTGCACCCCTTTCACAGACTTTCAGATCTTTTGTTCAGTTATAATCAGCAGCACACAAGATAGACTGAGACTTGATTCTTCTTTTCTTTAGATAATAATGTATTGTATAAAAGAACCTGATCCATACTGTGGAGGTGAAACTGTTCTTTTAAAAAACAGTGACTTGACTGCCATGTTGGATCCAAAGGTAACGCAAGAGATGGAGGAAAAGAAAATTCGTTACCAAGCATTTCTTCCAAACAAAGATTCCAAGGCTAAACTACAGAAGAGTTGGCAAGATCGATTCTGGGTGGATGACTCAAAGGTCTGTTTAATATAATGTTTTTGTTTTTGCATTTGTTCATTTTTTACATTCAGTCGCTTTTTCTGCAATGACTGCGGAATATAATCAAAGCAAAAAAATAGTTCTGAATTCTGGGTCTGTAATATCTAGAAAACCATTGTATGAAGAGGGTTCAAAAGAAAACTCTTCTGCAATATGTATGGTACCATTAGTATGATAGCATCCCTGGATGTGAAAGAGGTTTTTGTTAGTGAGTTGATGTTTATTCTAATGATGGAAATGGGAGACAACAAGCAGTTGCCCTTCTCTATTGAAGAGAGAGCCCAGACTCAGTGCTTTCTAGGAAATACGGTACAGTACCTATAAGAAGGAAATTTAATCGCCAGTGAAAGAATGTCACAACCATCATATTGTTCTCTTCACTTCAGGAAGTTGAAAAAATTCTCAAATCTAATGAATGGAATTTCTCTTGGGATGACAAGAACAACTTGAGATACTGGTATATCCATTCTCCTGTCAGGCCCCACCCTGTGACTGGGGAGAAAATGTGGTTTAATCAAGTAACCAGTTATAATGCCAGCTACTTCAGAGATCTTCCTCTTTACAAGAATATTAACATGCCAGATGACCATTATCCATTCCACTCCTATTACGGTGATGGGTCAATCATTCAGCCTTCAGTCCTTCAGCACATCCGTGCAGCTATGTGGTCATGTGCTATGGGTTTTAGTTGGAGAACAAATGACGTGGTAGTGATTGACAATTTACAAGTGTTACATGGAAGAATGGGGTGGACTGGTGAGAGAACACTTGTGACCACGCTTATTGATGAGTGATGAAAGGTTCCCTCAATGGGCGATGCAAAAAACATGCAAGTTGACAATCAGGGATATAAATAATTTAAAATATTTACTTTCAATTTATTGTTATTCAAATTAAATAGATCCTTGTCTTATTAACATTCTTTTCTTTAGAAGTTTCTAACGACCATCCATTGCTATAAGCTGAATTAAACATAATTCAAACTTTGACATCATGTTAAAGTATACCTGCCAACCTTTTTGAGTCAAATGCATGAGATTTTTGTCTTGTCAAAACCGGGATTTCTGTAAACATCCCAGCAACTTTGGAAGATTTAACGAAGACTTCCAAATGATGCAGGAAATGTTCTCATGACCTTTGAGCTCTTCCAAAGCCATTTAAAAGGCAACAATTTTAGCCTGTTGTGATATTGTCAGGACACAAAGTCAAGACCCTTTTTAGAATATTTTTGGGAAACTGAATTGAATTTTTGTTATTAATCATTATTTCATTGAAGAACTATTGGTCCACATTTGTGAGTCGGGTGTGAGAAATTGTCCTTGATCCATAAGATCGATGTGTTTTGCCCGCAGGCATGAGATTCACGCATAATCTGTGAGAGTTGGTAGGTATATTAAAGTTGAGTTTTTTCAAAGCAGGCTGCTATAGCTATTGCTGTCTTCTGTAGATTCATTTCTTGTAGGTTCGCCAGTACTGCTATTACCACTCCTTTGGGAAGCTGTTCATTACAAGTGGTAGGTCTTATAAGAAGAATACTGCTAGCTCCCACTGCTCCTCCTAAAGAATACAAAAATTATCACTGCAGTCAGATGTCTTGCAGAATTTAGACAAATCAACAAAGAGATAATAACAGACTGATCATTTGTCTTAGGATAAGGGCACTTGAGATATGGATCATTACATTTCAGCTACATTGTTTTCACACAGCACCTGAAAAAATTTGAGCATTTGGGTGTTCCATTCACATATGGAACCATGCTTAGCACCAAAATCTAGGTCAAATTTTTAGTCAGTAGGGTTTGAACACCATAACTGTTTAAATTTTTGTACTGCCATGACATGAATGCATGGTAACCCGGTTCATCAGTGAAAATATTGAAATTATGGTTATGGCAAATGAAGTGTCTGGTTAAACTTTTTTAGCCAAATGAAATTTGTCTGGTGCCATGTTAAAAACGTAGTCTTTGACTCCTTTTTAGTTGTCTTCTTAAAGTGAAGTGCAAAGGGAGTGATCACACAGTGTCTTTTTAACCACAGTGGTCAGTTGTGACTGTTGCATTCTGATTCTTACCATGAGACAGAGGCCATGTTGGTACATCAGCTAACTACAGAGGGAACAGTGAGGATTGAAACATACTATTCACAGCTGACCGATATTCAAAGCTTTGTGGGCTTCTTCAAGAAGTGCATGGACGAAGGCCCTACGTGTATGTAATCTCTATCTCGTGTTTTCAAGCAAACATGAGAAGTTGATCAGAGGTCACTTTTTTGCAGGCACTATTCCTTTTTTTACCTTTACCTTGAATCCTCCCCCCTCCCCTCCAGAAAAAATAACAGAAAACAGGAAAAATATCTGATGGAGATCTTCAACTTGGGTCTTGTGCTGAGTTTATGTTCTGGGATCTACATAACATGCTCCTTTTTTTTTTTTCATTGTTGCGTTTTGACAAATTTTTGTGTAAGTTTGTGTCACATAGCCCTCCCATTATTTTTGTACCTCCATGAAGAATTGTCTCTGACTGATGATGACAGGCTCCAAAATCCTGTTTTTCTGGAATGACCACCCAGCCCAATCCATAGCCACCATCCTTGTGGCCTTGACCTTCAGTGTTAGCTGCAACTTTCCACAGCTCTGTTACAGTTTCAGGCTTAAGAAATCCAGGAAGACAACCTAGTGTAAAAAAGATGGTACACATTTATACATTTGCACAATTAGCATGTCTAATTAATTATCTCAGCTTATTGATGATAATAATAATGATGATAATAATGATAATAATTTATTGTATAAACACTAAATTATGTAAACTTTTGCACGAAAACATGATATCTTCACATGTGAAAAGATCACCATTGCTATGGCTACATAATAATTTGTGCCTTTCACAGCAACAAACTATTGAAATGGTTTGGTATTTCATTGGTATTTATATAATAAAATAGAACATTACATGGTTGCTTGGAGATCCATGTCAACGCTTGAAGAGAAATTTCATATCTCCATGCAGCCATGTGATACCCACTATATGTGCATTTATTCATGCATAATTATATGATCACATGCGCATTACAGTAAACTTAAAAGGAACACAAAACATCTCAGTCATTAACTTCCTATTATTTTGAAAGCACCCAATATGTTCATTATCTCTTCCTTTACATATGAGCATCACCTCAGTGGGATTAAAAATCACTTACAAAACACAACCCAGAATAAACCTAGTACACACACACACCTATTACACTGTGAGTCAAAGGGCCAAACAACTGAGCAAGGAATGTTACTAATTTTGATTTCTTATGATAGCTTCTCTGTCAATAAAAAATATGGCCAAACCTGCTGTGTTCCTGTTATGATCCGTTTGCTTGGCATACAGCATAGAATTTCCAAACTGAACTAGATCTTCTGCTGTAGACATGAAACCTCCTCCAGCCCACTTGTAAGAATTGTCCACATAAGGTGCATTTACAAGATGACCATTCTCGTTCCGCCTATAAAATCTGTGGTACAGTAGTAATAAATATATGAACAAGGTTTTCAAACCAAAAGGACCTAAAGTAGGTTACTTTAATGTTTAAACCACTCACTCATAGTTTGCAACTGGAGTCTTTCTTTACGATGGTCATAAAAAAAAGTTCTCAAAGAGCAAACTCAAATCTACAGGTTATATGGAAAGGTTGCCTTGATTTTTGTGTGACTATTTTGTTAATAAGTAGTAAAATATTGCCGTCAGTATTCGTCATCTTAATGAAAATATCCCCCAAAATGCCAAAACTTGATGTCAATTTTGTAGGTTAATTATACTATAATGGAAACTAAAACAGGCTGATAAAAAAACTGCCATTCAAAGAGGAAATATCTCTACTAGTCTTTATAAAATGAAAGAATAACCTTGCCCTGTTGTAAATAATGACATCATTGAATTCAGCACAAGTGTTTTCCATCCCAAGATCTTTAAACAGTTTTTTCATTAAAGAAAGGAAATCCTGATTAGCTGCTTTCTCTATGACAGCGCTCAACAAAGTCCATCCATGGGTGGTGTATAAATAGGTTGTACCAGGAACAGACAACAATGGGTCATCTTTAAACAGTGACAAAGCCTCTGATACTGTTTTATAATGGTCCTACAGTGTGTACAGAGGAAGAAATTCTTTTATTAGTGAGGGGATCCTTGACATTCCAGCCAGTTTGTTTCCTAAGTTTTAATCTCTTTAATGTAATTTTAAAGATCACTTGCTGTGACCCACCCAATGCACGACGAGGCCCCAGTTGTTCAAAAGGTGGATAACACAATCGCTTTCCCTAAAAATTATCAGCTGGATAGTAATTTATTCAGTGGATAGCACTACCCAACATTTGGAGATGATTGGCCAGATTGCAGTTACCCCCAAAGCCACCATCCATACCTTTGAACCTTAAGTTTGTAATGGGCGATTTGAGGCCTAAAATGGCAGTAGTGTTTACCAGTATTTCTTGATCCTGTCCTGAGCTCTTTTAAATATTAATTACTTTTAGCAATCACAAACAAGGAATACTGGTGTTATTCTTAAAGATGCACACACCATCTACCTGAGGACCTGAGGAGGAGGCTGACACCATGACATAGCACCAAACTGACCATAGTTTCTGTAATACAGTCAAGTCTCTTTTTAAGACAAACACCTTGAGTAAGCCTCTGCCATTCTTCACTGTCAGTAAAATAACTGTGACCAGTTTAGAGAGAACTGATTGTACCAAAACACATGGTCTCTTAATTGCTTTTAATTTCCAAGTTCAGTTTCACTGTAAGTATCCCTCCAACATGAACACCTTTCCAGGTGATCCCACTGCATTTTCTGCATCCTTCATTGATCTTACTCTGAGGAAACAACTTACNATGGTCTCTTAATTGCTTTTAATTTCCAAGTTCAGTTTCACTGTAAGTATCCCTCCAACATGAACACCTTTCCAGGTGATCCCACTGCATTTTCTGCATCCTTCATTGATCTTACTCTGAGGAAACAACTTACCAACCTTAATGTAGTATTCCTCAAAAGAAAACTCTCGTCTTCTTCTACTTCTGCTAGTAATCACTTGCAAAATAACAAAACAATATTAACAATACAAAAATGTTTTAGCTGCAGGGCTAAAGGTAATCACTTCTTTTGCAAGGCCTCGTAATTTATTTTAAAGAAACTTATGACTTGAAAGTTAAACTGAAATAATCTTATGAAGTGCAACATTAACAACAATGCCTTGTAATTACGTGAAAGAACATAAGCAAAAGTTAACTTTGTCTTGACAAGAAATAACAGTCACTATCATCATCAACAGAACACTCAACAACAGGAGCTTGACCACTCTGTATAAAATTTTCTTAACTGACCATGGCATTTGAATGCTTGCCCCAAAGGATTACATGTAAGAATATTACTGTCACAAATATTAAAAAATTATATTTTATGGCCGAATCAAAGAGCAGACAAGATAAAGGGAATCCTGTGCTCTGATTGGTTACTCCAGCGGGCAAGATGGACCCACCTTGCCCACTTGGGATTTTCCACTTTGGCCCCGCAAGAATAAGTTCTTTTTCTGGCCATACAACAAATCCTTTATTGACCACCAAGCGTGAGGTCAAGATCGCTGGATGTTGGCCTCCTTCTTTTTTCACGTTTTTATTGACCTTGACTTCATCTCGCTTTGTAAATACACAAAAAAGGAACTTGGCTAATATCCAGCCATCTTGATTAGTTAACCAGCTGACATTAAATACTGTGGTTCAACAAACACACCTTCCTGTTCTTTGTCCCTAGAAACTGAAACTTCTTCTTTGGATGAATTTTTCACACTCTGTTGAATCAGGGACAATGACTTTAAAGATAATTTTGACATTGAAATAATAACAATGAAATAATGCCACACAAGAAGACATTGATAGTCCCAGTTACAATATTAAAATTAGTAATGATGCTCTGATTGATCAAATAACAGTCCAATAAAGCACCTAACCAAAATTTACAGTGATTTTCCAGAAAGGTTCAAACAACAACAAAAACGCTGGCGAAATATGATATAAAACTGTTCATAAAGCTAGAGTGATTGTAATAGCACCTAGGGTACTGGATAAGAAGTGAGAGGATTAACGAAGGAGATATTTGATGCTTATGAGATCACTTAATTATGATATAACAAATTATGACCAAATTGTTGTGTAATGTGCATTGTATTTTTGACTGATGTGGCACTGTTTAGTAAAAGCATTATTAGCATTTTAGGAACCACTATGATAATGATGACAATAAGTCCCTTCCTGCCTAGAAAACATACCTTATTATCTGTGTTTGTTTTGTTTTCCTTATTACACTGTGTTTTATCATAATGTCTTATTCCACCAAGATGTGAAAGAAGATGTCTTGTTGTGAGGGTTGCTGTGGACCCATTAAATGTCTTTGTCGGAAATGAAGTTACATAAGTTTGAATTGCAGCATCAAGGTCCAGCTTTCCTTCTTCCCACAGTTTAGCTAATAAATTTAAGAAATTGAAAAAATATATGGATATGCTCACATTTCTTATATTAAATAGTGCTGTTATTACGAGCAGTAAATCATATCACCTTTCACTTAACAATGGCTGACAGTAAGGCCAGTAAACCAAAGAAAAAATTGCACATTGGAATTAAAACATATAGTCTCCTTCGCAGCCATTATTGGGGTCATCATGCAACGCTCTTCAGGGGAAGGAGCATTGCATGATGACCCTAATAACAACTGCAGAGACTACAAAACATATGGAATCAGGTATGGTTTTCGAGGGAACTACAGGAGTGTATGAACATATTTGTCATTTCATTTGCAAATGAATAATAAAGAAAGAGTAAAATGTGAATTCAAAATTGATTGAAAAGAAATCTTAATGATGGGGTTCTAATCTAAGCAACGATAACATTTTCACCTATAATGTAAACATGTATGTTGCATTTTGTGACCTCTTCCATGTCTGAAAATAGGTGTGGATTTTAGAAGCCAGGTTTGAAAACTGCTGTTGAAAATGACATTTTTTGGTCGAAATATAGTCCGGATTGGGATAACCGGATGGTACACCCCTGCCAAGAATTCCCATGAGTGTATCCCCTCCCCTTGGGACAGTCACAAACCTGCAGCTGTTGTAGTTAGTGGTTTACTAATGCTTGCTATTCTCATAACAGTTTTGCTGGTACATAAAACTCTGTTTTCAACATCTGCAAAGCCAAATCCTTCACTCCACACAGTTTTTCCATCTACACTCACAGCAATAGATACCCCAGGAATGCCACGCTCTTCCTTCATACACTGAATGATGGATCGTGATTCATCTATTGCTGATTGTAGGGTCCAAGGATAACCATGAGAAATGCTGGGATTTTGTTCCTTCTGTGTTTATGTGGTAAAAGAAAATCTTGCAACAAAAATATATTATTGAATTGGTTTAGAGGTGTCTAAAAACCAAGCTAAAATATATGAGGAATGCGCTAGGATATGACAATAAATGCATTGTCCATATTCAGGCACAGATCCACACCAGTTTCCACTGTTTTATGGAAATGGATCAGATTTTTCAAAATAAATATATTTTTAATAAAAAAAATTTCCAAGTTGAAATATGGAAAATGGTCTGGACAATTTTTTTTAATAGCCGTGCATTGGACTCGCCATGAGATTTTCAGCTGGAAAATCACTTGTCCCTGCACCATGTCACAGACGAGATTGACAAGACTCGCCTTGCTCCATATCCACTACAACATGGAAATTGACCTTATAAATAATCCGCCGATTCACAAGGCTTCATCCGAGGAGAGTGGAACTAGCCAATATCCTGTCTGAACGACTAACCCAGGAAAAGGAACTTTAAGGAGTTAAAATCCGAAAAATTTCCAGGGGAGCATGCCCCCGACCCCACTTAGGGCCTCTTCATATGAGCCCGGTTGACTGGGCTGGCTTGGTTACCGGCATGAATTTTGCCTTGGGTTCATATGAGAAATTTCAGCCCGGTTTCCGAGATGAGAAAAGGTGAAAGATCCTGGGTATGAGTTCTGGCACCAAATTTGGGAAACAAAGCAAACATAGCGAAAAGCACCGATAACTCTTAAAGCTGTATCACTGCAGTTAAATGGGATGCTTATGATGTGGAAAATACAGCAGGCAATGCAAGACGATGCCATCCGGGCCGCCAGAATTCATCCCGCCGTTCATCCAGGTAACCGTGATGAAGTGTTCATATGGCAAAATTTCCAGCCCGCTTACCGAGATCTCGGTTGGAAAAACCGAGATCTCGGGAACTGAGCCAGCCCGCCCTCTCATATGAACACATCGAAAATTTAACAAAGGATTTAGAGGTGAGGCGAGATCTCGGAAACCGGGCGCATAAGAAGAGGCCCTTAGAACTATCGAAGCTTCAGCCTCCGATGCTCGTTTAGGAAATCGGTCAGTATTTATCCTAAATCCGCGCCTGATATTTCCCATGGACTCGCAGAATTTCAGTAAAAGGATACTGGAACTGCATGTTGATTTTTCAGCGCATCCAACTTTCTTTCGACACTTGTGGCGTTTGCTCTCTTTAAAAGCTTCAGCTTTTTCTTTTGATAAAGACCCGAAAATCCAATTAACCCAGCGAGACCAAATCCAAGCAAGAAAGCGGCGTTTGGTGGTGTCTTCCCTTTTGAAGTACTTGGTAAGCTTCTACTGTTATTAAGACACCGTAAAATACCAAACCTATTCTTTGCAAGGAATTGAAATTGTCTTCGTATTTTCTGTAGAGATGCGGCCGCCATTTTCCTTTGACACTAGTGACACTAGTCACCAATGCTCAGCTCGAGGCCCGGCACTATAAATTCAGAACTGTGGACTGTGGACTGTGGACTGTGGAGTGCTATTACTTCGAACTGAGTAATGTGTTTTTACAGCCCAAAGAGATTGTAATTTAGGTAGTACAATTTACAATATTTTACCCACTGAATACTGACTTACATACTCATCTCATACAGGCTGCCATTTCATCGCCCAGTTCAGTAGTGTGTACCGTAAAATTCCGAAAATAAGCCCCGGGGCTTATATTTTTCAAAGGACCTTCTTATATATGGAACAGTCAACGGCGAACTCAAATTCATTCAAAATCGCCCAAAAAAACCGCTTTTGAGGCAAAAGGACGACTATACACCACAGGCAAGGTAATTTAACGTTTATTTATCATTGATTTATATACATAGTTAGCGATATATCGCTATAGGTGAAGCAAACGGTAAATCCAGTACATTTACTATAAAATAACAATCGGCTACACAAACAGATTGTGTGGGCTCCCTGTGGACGAACTCGCGCGGAAACGCTTGCCACGCAGGCTACCTCGATCTAATCGTCGAAGTATGCCAAGTTCTCCGCAAAGTTAAAGCTGCAATCAATATAAGAGGTTTTCTGACAATTCTCCTTAATCGTGTTCTCGTTCTTGCGTAAACATCGAGCCGGTGGAAGGCTGTTATTTTGGTTCTTCCAGCTCTTGATCTTTCTGAATGAAAATGTACGAGTAAAACCTGAAGATTTCAAGGAGTCTTTTTCGTCATCATTGCTCGTATTATTGTCGGTAGCGTCGGTGATAACCAGACAATTTAAAGAATTTGGTGGAGGTTCTCGCGGTCGGCCCCTCACAACTAGGTTTATCATGTACATCCATCGATGTCTTCGTAAAATCGAGTCGCATTTCAACGTGTAAGACGCTTCCTCAGTGAGCAGTTTGAAACGAAAGCTGTACATTCGTCGCTTGGCCAACACACATCTCGATCCTGGAGTGAGCTCGATAAACTGCTGAAAATTGCCGTTTTGTTCTAGAGTTTTCCCCAAGTAAAAATAAATCCCTTTACAATCAAGCGAAGCCCAGTAAAACCGCCATTTACCAGTGAGGTCTTCTTTCTTCAAGAAATCTGCATAATAAATTTCTGACTCATTCATGATGGAGAAATTAACAGCGTTTATACATCAGCTAGTGAGAAAGGGCAGTGCCTTTGGTTGGCAGATGTTTTGCTATTACAGTAACCGGAGATCTCAGCACATTTTTCCATTGATAAGATGCCTCCGTTTGCTGACAGTCTTGACGAGAAGCGATCAGCTGCTCAGTCATCTGAAATGAAATACACTCTTGTTTATACCGGAGACGACGAGTGAAACGTAGAATGAAATGATAGAATCAAAATGACTAAATATTCACAATCAAATGAAAAAGATCCATGGGATAAATCCCAGTAGATGATCAAAGTTTAAAACAGCGTGAATTATTAATCACTGCAGTTTTTGTGTGGGTTTCATCCGACGTGTCTTTTACGCTGTAAAGATTCACTCTTGGACTGGACTTCAATAATTTTATTAATAAAAGGGATTTTTTTGGAAACTCGCACCCCTTCTTGGTTTTCCTGCTCACTTCTCTTTGCACAGTTCCCCTTATCTGAACGCCTGGCAAAGGCTAATAATTGACCTCGCACTGCGGGTCAAAAAAATATTTTCTCGATTCCTGGTCAGTATCTTAATTTCCACGTACTTTTCAGAGGGATTTATAGAGTTTCTCCGCTTCTCAGCACTCAGGAAGTTACACAATCTTATATTCATTCCACATAGTAAATCACGGGAAAGTTTTTTGACAT